GTGCAGTCACAGTGACTGGCACCCATAAAGCAGTCCCCAAGGAACACTCCAATGGTTCCCATCTTTCCTGACTGGCAGAGCCACAGAAAAGGGTGCCTGTCCTCCAGGCCACTGTACTTTCCTTGTCCCAAGGGCTGGGTGCATACCTTACAGCCACAAAGCCTCTGGAGAACAGCATGAACTCCTCACCTCAGAGAGGGCCAAAGAGCGCAGCAGGCTCCTGGGGAAGCCTGTGGCCCTCTCCCCTCTGTGTGATGTCTAAAAACAGGTGAGACAGCAATCTGGCATGGACACCTTCCATGCCAGAACAACTATCTAGATGTGCTTTCTCCGTAACAGAAAATGTCTAATGGTATGGCTCTGCTACTGACAGGAGAGAAAGAAATTCACAGGGCTTTCAAAGACCTGGTCTTCAAAGGTTTCCAAAGTCTGGGCAAAGCACTTTAAACTGAAGTTGCATCTAAACCCCTGATACGACTACCCTTCCAGAAGACTCAAAGACATCCTAGTGCAAGGAGCTAGGCTCTCCAGCTCCTTGCTCTGAGCGGGTGCCTGTGCAAGGAAGGCCTGCCTGCTTGTGCTCCCCAGGGCTCACTCACCTGCAGGGGTGGGGAGGAAGGGTGGATTCAGATTCCTGGAGTCAAGCTGAGCCTAGGCACAGGCCCTAAAAAATAACAGGGGCAGAGAGGAGTAGCAGCTCCTCTCCCTCTGGGTGGGCATGTGTGTTTCCTGACACCAAGGGAACTAAGCAGACAGCAAATGTATATTTGATGACATTTCTCTGCAAGCAGCCTCCCTTCTGAAGAACCAAGGTTGAACAAAGCCTAGTGCCAGGGCACACAGAAGAAAAAGAAGGACTAGAGGGCCTGCCAGAAATGATAAGATGGCCCCCGAAGAGAGTGGCTAAAGCAAAGAGGTACAGCTTTAATAAAAGTCACCATGATAGTCACCATCCTACTCAAATTAGCAACGTTTCCACCTGCCAGACTTTAAGGAAAGGGGGGTCAGGCCCAGTTGAATAGCTTACAAAATGGTATAAAGGAATCCACCACTGAGAAGTCTCTCCTGGTACCCACTGCCACTTCCAGCCTCCTGCCAACCCAACCAGATACAAGAGAGTAACAATGTGATCCTTTCCTATTCACTGTCCAAAGGAAGCTGAAACTGCCTCCAGATAATGGCCAAAAACCAAGCAGTGAGAGATAGCTGATGCTTTACCCTGATAAGATCAAACATCTGGGTATGTGCCATCATGTAGAAAGAGATGTGTAGTCCAGACTTTGAAAAGTCTATGCATACTTCGAAAAGATATGCAGTCTTGTGGATGTAGCTCACAAACTTAACTTTGTCCCCATTTAGGAACCCAACCTACATGTTTGCATTTCTCTTTTGAACTATAACTGCAAATGCAAATTGCATTTAATCCATCAAATTGTGATGTTCTACCAATACCACAGAAGGTGATAAAAAGAGGTCACTTAAGCAGCAGGCTTCAAAGGAGGCTGATGAGAATAATTGAATTCACCCCTTCCATCCTGCTGGCCTTCCCCACTGAATGCCACTCTTGCCATTTGATCTGTCTGTCCTGAGGATTCAGGTACTGCTGCAACAGGCAGAATGCCACAGGACTGATGAAGAGCTCGTTTCTGCCACTTCTCATGACAGTTCCTCCCCTCCTTGGCCCTTCACTCCAAGAGTGCCCTGAAGTTCAATAGCTTTCTTACCAGAAAGCCAAATGTATGCTGGAAACTGGAATCTGCATAGGAGTCCACAGAAGACAGCCAGGAATTCAAGGTCATCCAAGGCCCCATATCCTCCTGCTCCATTCATGTCATCAGTAATCTCATAGAAAGATTCTGAGCATCTGTAGCATGTATTCTTCGACTCCAATCCTTTTAGATGGAAGAAGCTAAGACTCCTTCTGCACTATTAAGAGCAGAAGGAGGAGAAGAATAAAAATCTAAGAGCACCAGAATGTAAAACTGACAGGGATAAAAACACTCACATGCGCGCACACACACACTTTTGTGAAAAAAAAAAAACTCTAACTGGAAGATTGGGTACTATATAATTGCATTCTCCAAACTTCTGTGGTGTGTCATGTATTAGTGATGTCTACCAGACAGAACCCTGAAATGCAGAGCTGGAGGAGACCCTCCAGTCCAGCCGGGATCAAGTAAGTGCCCACTGCTCTGGGCAGAGCAAGTGTCTTGGTCAGTATCTCACACCTAAGCAAGGCTCAAGCATGAAGTAAGGTGCTTCCTGCTTGGCAATGACCACTCAGTGAACCCCTGGACAAAGTTCCACTCCATAAAGCTTTCATCCTGGAGTGATCTAGAAACCAGGCCTTGGAGGCCACTCCCCATCAATACCCAAGAGTACTTCACTTCCCAGAAAGACAACAAAGCCTCTTAGAAGACTTTGCATTCTCGTGAGAGAACAATCAGGAAGAACTGATCATCTGAACCAGAGGGCTGTGATAATATTTTGAAAATGACTTACTTTTATCTTTCCTCCAAGTAGTATAGGTAGAGGAAAACAGTTGACTGATTTTTATCACATAAAAATTCTTCCATTTGTCTTTAAATAAGAATTTTTTTGCATTGTGATCAATTCCAGAATTTTCATCAATTCCATCAACAAGTTCTTGGATGCAAAATAAAGTGAAGATGGAGCCCCTATCAAACAGTTACTAGGTTAAGAGAGAGGACAAAGGGTTGGTGAACATAATTCAAAAGAAATGCACAACTGTCTTTAAAATATACCTGTAATTGCTACCATTTTAAAAGATTTCTCTGTGCTCAGCACTGGATTAAATGCTTTACGTTGTACCAATTACTGTAATTCTCATAGCAACCCTACAAGATGGGATTGCATTATTCCCCGTTTACAGATCAGCAAACAGGCACAAAACATTTGAGCAATTTTCCCAAAGTCACAGACGCTGTCTCAAAATTTTTTTATAAGAAGTGTTTAATTGTTTTTACTCTCCATGGGCCTTTGTCAGTCACCAAAAAAGCAGACCTGGGTTTCTTGTAATTTTAAAATAAAGGAAATACACACTTCTGTATGGGTGGAAATGACAAAAAGAGCCCCATCCAGTGTCATTTCTTACCAGAGGAGGGAGACCTTTAATTTGATGCACAGATTAAACCCTACAGGCTTTTCCACCCTGTTTCAAGTAACCAACTTGAAAAGTCATCTACTGGGCTAAAGAGGAGCCTTTGGAAATTGCTTTAAGAATGTCATGGGCTTTGAACAAAACTGTTAGGATCAGAAAAGCATAGTTGCTTTTGCAAATACATCCGGTTGCATTCTCTATAAACTTGTTCTATTTGATTTCTTCTCCATTCTGTCATTAATCATGAAACTAATATATCCTCCCAATACCATATTTACTAAATAAATAATTTAATTTGATGGAACACATGAACCTGTGCCCTACACAGACAACAGTTTGAGCCGGATCCCTAATTATGTCTGGCATAATTGTATCTGGCATTATCTCACTGCCTGGGTCGGATTCTCAGGGGTCGCAGTTCCCTAACAGCTCTGAGGGGTCTCCGTGGTGTCATAGAAAAGCCAGAGAACCACAGAGTGCCCCTGGGAGGTCCTGTAGAAAGCCACCTGCCGACTCAGCTAGGACGTGGTCAGAAACCAGAGACTCCTGAGGACTGGGCTGCCTCCTGAGTGGTAATACCGAGGGCCCCCTCGGACTATCAATCCCTTTCCTCTATCCCAGCGCCCCAACGCCTTGTGTCTGGGAAGAAAGTGCACGACTTCCCCAGAGACCCAGGGCCACAGACCCCGACTGGAGGAAGTGGCTGGGAGCTGTCCATGGTGGCGTCGCGCCTGGGCACGCAGAGCCGCCGGCTCACCGCCCTCGGGCGCGCCCTGGATCATTTTCCAGACCGCAGGGATGGAGAGACGCGCTCCCCGGCTCACCGTCCCCGGGATGGGGCTGCAGCCAGGCACTGGCTCACACATCAAAAGGTAGTTTTTAAAGGGAGCTCTCACCTGTGGGTAGCGTTGGCTGCTTGGAGAAAGACTCAGGACCTCAAACTCGGCAGCTGGTGGAGATCCTTGGGACTGCTGTAGCGTCCGACACTTGAGGAACAGCGGCTGTCGCGGAGAGTGTCTGCGGCTGAGGACCCAGGGCGCATCGCGCTCCTCTCTCATGAGCACACGCATCCCGCGGGGTCCATTCCAGAATGTCACTGGCCCTCGTTCCCGGCGAGCGGGAGACCTGGCTAGCGCTCAGCCAGGACTCTGCCTTTCCTCCCAACCTAACGCGACCTTTCTTGCAGCCGACGTCCTTTGCCAGGGACCACCAAACCTTCTTCCAGTGATGCCACGTATGGAATCTCAGTCTAAACATCAGCGGAGGACCCCGGGTTCATCTAACATTGCAATTGCCTCAGCTCGGCCCCGCGCCAGCGCGTCGCTGGGTGCCTAGCGCTGTCCCGGAGGCATTGGGAGGCGAGGAAAACCGGGAGGAAGAGCTTGCTGAGGCAGGAGCAGCAGGGCGCAGACCTGTTGCTAGGCGCACGCCCGCTAGCGCTCGGCCTGAGCTGGCTCCGAGTCGGCAGGACACCGAGACCCGACCCTTGTGGTATTCCCTCCTGGGCGAGACACTCTCCCGGGCTCAAGCCCCAGGTGCCATTCAGAGGAGGAAAAATCTACGGAAAGCAGGAGACTGCCCCCTCTGGATGCCTTCTGGGGACTTCAGCGCCCCCCGGCACCTGCAGCTTGTAAAGCATCACAAGATCTCAGAGAAATCCCACAGAGGTCAGTGCCAGAGGCGTGTGCCCATCAACAGACGCATGGACAAACAGACAGACAGAGGTAGACTGCACAGCACAGGGTGGACAGACAAACAGAAACTGAGGCGGGCAACGTTTACCCTATGCCGGGTGGAGGCCCGAGCCCCCGCTTTTTACCTTCCTACCATGGGACGGGCCGTCAGCTCATCCCTGACGCCCCCAGCCAGGCCCTCTTACCTCTGGGTCGGTGGCCGAGACAGTGTCAAGCCTCGCGGGCCAGGAGCGCAGCGGCCCCGGGCGTCTGGTCGCTGATCGCCAGGCGCCGCGAGCACCCGGGGCGTGGGCAAGCGAAGTGGTAGCTCGTCTGGGAAATCGGGGTTCAGATCCTGGCCGCACTCAGCTCCGCTGGCTCCTCGCGCCGCTTGCGCTCGCCAGGCTCGGTCCGTTTGCACCGCGCTGGGCTCTGCTTGCGCGCCAGCTCTCCGGTCGTCAGCCGGAGCTGCCGCTTTTATAGTCACTTTTACTGACTCCTCCCCCGCGGAGCCCCTGACGCCCGCGCGGCACCGAAGCTCCCTCCCTCGCCCCCCAGTGAAGCTTCCCTCCACGCGCCCCCGCCTTGCCCAAGTGGGGCGGGGGCCCTGCGCCCGGGTCGGACCGGGGCGGGCTCTGGCGGCGGCTCTGGGAGACGCAGACCCGAGCCCGCGGAGCCCGGGTGCGCGGAGTCCCGCCCGCAGCAGCCAGGTGAGGGCGCTGGAGGACAGGACTCCGTGGAGCGGCCGCGGCGGATCGCGGAGAGCAAGTCCCCGGGCCTCCAAGGAGCCAGGGTCTCCCGTACCCCGCTCGCGCCCCGGGGCGTCCTCCGAGGCGAAGAGGCAGTGGACGACAGGAGAAAAGGTCTTCGCCTGCCACAGAATCTCCGCGAGTCGGGGTCCCAGGCTAAGTCTCAGGATCTCTTTTAACTCAGCAGCAAAAGAGTGGCCTGAGAGATTTTGGTATTGGCCTAGCAGTTCATCTGAGAGGAAAATGCGTGAGTGCTCAATGAAAGCCACCTTGGTTTGAAATAGGATTCAGACCCCTCCCAGCCTCAGTTTCCTCATCGGGAAAACGGGTTCTGTGATGCTTCCTCACTAGAATGGCGAGACTTAAATGGGATCAGTAAAGTCCAAGTTCTAGGCACATAATAGGTGCTCGGTAAGTTAGAAACATTTCCTATGGGTAGGAGGGCTCTGTGCCTCTTTAATTGGACAGGCCAAAGTTCTGAAGGGTCAAAGCAAGAAGGTGCGACTGGTCTAGACATTCCCCTGCCAGAAGAAACAGTATCAGTAGGAAAAGTCCATCACAACACATCCCGAGGGCATATGGAGACTCCTCTCAACTCTACCGCTAATCTACTGTGTGACCAGGGCCAGCTACTTCCCCTGTCTGAGTCTCAGGGCGGTTTTTTTGCAGGGAGGTGAGGAAATCTGTAAAATGAGGGCGTTGATACCTGCTCTCTGCCCCTTCCACTTTTTAGAGTGTGACTCAGCCCCCTTTCCTGGTTAGCAGAGGCCTCCTAGAATATACATTTCTTTCTGCCTTCCTGGCAGTGTTTTCTGAGAACCACCTCCTCAGGCAAGGTCTCCAATCTGTGGTACACACTAGCTTCGGGAATCTAGGTCTGGACTTTAAGGCCAGGCTGTGGTCGGCAAAAGCTGTGGAAGTCTGTAATCATGTCCCCTGGGTTAAAGCAGAAGCGTTTGTCACCTGGTTAAACCGGGAAGTCCTGCAATCCACCTCTAGGCCTTTTCCAGAAAGCTGAACTTGATCCTTACTGGGGATGGCAGTCAGGATTCTCAGCCCTTCTTTGATTTATTGGGAAGTAATGAACTGGATCCAAAGGCAAGCCCTCCTCCCCAGCCTTTTCTTTCCACCCTAATAAACTGGAGCCCCCTCCCTGCCCTCAGGGCCCCTCCCCAGTCCTCACCATGATTCCTGTTTATTTTTTTCTTCCTTAAGGAGCCCCCGGAAACCAGACACACAAACAGTTGTGTGTTAGGGGTTTGGGGGGGCTGGGCATTTGGCCCAAATGGAGAAAGGTCGGCCTTGAATCAGCCTTATTTGGCATGACATGCAGGATTTTCCATCAACAGACAGTAGATTTGAGGCCTGAGTGGAGCCAGACAGCCCTCTGGTGAGGGGCTGGCTCCACAGGCATCTGGGAGATGAAGTGTAAAGGCAGGGTCCTGTCTAGGGATGGGCCCTGAGAAGTGCTTTGTCATGTTTTCTCAAAGCACTGAAATGCCCAGCACATTCCTCTTGTATCCAGTTTTCTTTATCACAGACCGATACCCAGGAGAAAAGAGCAATGCTGATGAATTACAAACAGGCTCCGCATGTCTAAAACCAGATTCTCCAGCCAGTTCTCTATTCAGCACTACCATTCAGCATTCAGTGATGAACGGGGCGTGCCGGGTAATTCTTTATGGATAAATATAGCAACATGACACTGGCGGATTTACTACCCACACTTCCCCAATCCAAGGTCTTGCTCTTATAAATGCAGAGACATGAAAGAGCTGGTCAGGAAAGGTTGTGCTGGTTTTCTGGTTCTTGCTGAAATCTCCCAGCAGAGAGTCTCCAGAGAGAAGGGAAATGCCCATCAATGGTGTGACCTCCCACCCAGAAAGCCTGCCCTTCCTCCATTCTTTGCATTTGCCTCCAGCCCACCTTCCTCAGGTGGGATACAGTCCCCTCAGCTACATCCTTGTGCAGTAGAATGGCCTGCCTGTTCACTGTTGCCTCAAGCTGCCCAAGTCTGGCATCCTCAGTCTGCTGACAGGATGCCACATCTGTTCCCTAAAACAAGGACCTTCACACTCCACCTGCTGATCAGCAAAGCCAGCACCTGCCCCTACAGTAGCCTGCCTTATTACAGTTTAAAAGGTTGGCCACACCTGTGGCTCCATAGGCCAAGTCTCCAGACCCAGTTGTCCAGGAAAATCTGGAGTAAATGCGTGGGGGACAAGGAGAAAAGGGAAGCAGGATGTAGTTAGGGTAGTGTGTGAGTGGGCTGTGGGCCTCAAGGTTTCCAGCAGACCCACACAAAATTAAAACTGAATTGGGCATCTTGGAGAAGCAACTCACCAATAATGAGCATATTTAAGTTCCACCAACAGGGGTCGCCCTTAGACACTGGGCCTGAAAAGGGAAATTCCCAGGCCTGGGTCCGGAGGCCAGATTTCCAGCCCTCAGAGCTGTTGGATTCCTGTCTTGGACACAGAAGAGGCTGCCGAGCTGAGGAGAGACAGGTCCTCAGTTTTTCTGGTGAGTGAAGGCCTGTGCTGGAATTTATGACAGCAAATTCCAGCTCTGAAAGTGGATTTCTGCATCTTCCTCTTCAAACTCACCATCACTCTAGAGAAAGATCTCTTCTTTCCTGTGTTTTATTTATGTCTAAAACATAGGTAAACGGTGTATGTATGATGTCTTATTATTATTTATTTCCTTTTTTCTAATTGCAAAAAGTCATACATGTTCCCTGTAAAAAAAATCAACCAACCAACCAACCTTGAAAAACTTAACGAACGAAGAGAAAAGAAATTACCTAACATCAAACATAATGTATGTACATTACAAAAGCTTGAAAAACACAGAAAAACACAAAGGAAAGAAAAAAAATTACTTCTGCTCAAAAATTATTTCTGTTAATTTCAGTATATAGTCAAGCATTTTTCCAGGTATAAGTTATATATATAGTTGCACAAATAGATAACTTATGTAAGTGTTCCATAAATGTTCAATAGCTAGCTCAAAATTATTCTCTTCCATCAGATTGCATGTTCTGAGAGGGCAAGGGTTATGTCTCTCAAGTTCCTTCTACCCTATAGTAGCTCCTATAGTGTCTAACATAAAGTCCACGTGTAGTCCACTGTCAAGGAATGAATACACGAATGAGCGTTTCTTACAAAAATAACATACATGCAGTGGAAAAGGAGACCCAAGTGGTTTACAAACATTTGAAAAGATGCTCGACTTTGCACATAAATGAAGAAATACAAATTAATACTATGATGAAATACCTGTCAGGCTGGCAAAAATCCAAAAGTTTGATACTACCTCTGCTGCAGGGGAGGCCAGTAGGGGTGGAGAATAAACCTTTGCATACATCACTGATGAAAGCTTACATTGGTACAACCTGTGAGGGCAGTTTGACAAGATTTAAGAAAACATACACAATGTTTGACTCAGCAATTCCAGGAATTTATCTTACAGCTCTAATGTGTGAAAAGAATAGCACCAGGTTATACATTGTAGCCCTATTTTTAATAGTAAAACAACAACAAACTAGCCTAAGTGCCTAGTAGTAGGGCTAATTAAATAATGTTGCATCTATATGATGGAGTACTATGCAGCTGTTTAAAAAACGATTAAAATAAATTTTTTTTTTTTTTTTTTTGAGACAGAGTCTCACTCTGTCGCCCAGGCTGGAGTGTGGTAGCACAAACTCAGCTCACTGCAACCTCCACCTCCTGGGTTGAAGTGATTCTCCTGCCTCAGCCTCCAGAGTAGCTGGAACTGTAGTTGTGTGCTACCTCACTCAGCTAATTTTTGTATTTTTAGTAGAAATGGGATTTCACCATGTTGGCCAGGCTGTTCTCGAACTCCTGACCTCAAGTGATCTGTCCAACTCAGCCTCCCAAAGTGCTAGGATTACAGGCATGAGCCACTGTGCCTGGCCAAGAATAGGGTAAATTTTATATAATAAAATAAAAAATTAAAGTGTGGAGCAATGTATATAGGATATGTCTGCACACTGCCACTTGTGCAAAAAGAAAGGGGAAGAAAAATACTCTGTATTTGCAGTTATTTATGGATGCATAGGAAATTATCTAGAATGACACACAAGAAACTAATAATATGGTTTCCTATTTGGCAATTGATTTTTCTTGAGCGGTGGGAAGATGGAAGAGGGGTGGGAGGTCAACTTTTCCTTACGTGCTTTTTTGTGATTTTTTTCTTTTTGAACTAAGTGAATTATTACCTAGTCAAAAATTTAAAACTGGGTGTGGTGGCCTGAGCCTATAGCCCCAGCTATTCAGGAAGTTGAGGCAGAAAAATCATTCAAGGTTGTGGTGTACTGTGATCAGGGCTGTAAATAGCCACTGCACTCCAGCCTGACCAACATAGAGAGACCCTGTCTCTTAAAAAAAAAAGGAAAAATGTAAATAATTTCTAAATGCCAAATTGTATATAATAATAAGCCTGTTTTTTCACTTAATAATATATCAAACACATTTCCCTGCATTTTAAATCTCTTTTCAAAAAATTTTTAAAACATTTATTCATTTTTTAGCTTGATTTTTTTTTTTTTTTTTTTTGAGACGCGGGTCTCTGCTCTGTCTGCCCAGCTGGAGTGCAGTGGCCGGATCTCAGCTCACTGCAAGCTTCACCTCCCGGGTTCAACGCCATTCTCCTGCCTCAGCCTCCCGAGTAGCTGGGACTACGCGGCGCCGCCAACCTCGCCCGGCTAGTTTTTTTTGT